TGGAAGACCAAAGCAACTTAGGCTATATAATAATAAAATTACCTTACACTGGTACAGTCTCATAGATTTAAAAGCACTTTCCCATTAGTGAATTTTGTCTCATGACAAATCTAGTTATTATTATTTCTCTTTTGATATCTGAGGAAAATGAGACATCAGAAGATTACGTGACTTGTTTTCATTTACATCATTTAATGAGCAATAGAGCTGAGGCTGGCAACGAGTTTCTCTATGTCTGTTCTAGAGTTCTTGCATTCTCTGATTATTCCACAAATCTTGATATTTTCATGGAACTGAGCCAGTAGTGCACCCTCACCAGCAGGACTCTAAGTTCTTCAATGCAAAGTCCAAGAAGACTGTCAGTTCTTGGAACATTCTTCCAAATTCTTCAAAAGATCATGGAAATGGTAATGAGATCAACAATCAAGTCTTTAGGGGAATGATGAAGGTTCAAGATTATACTTTTCCAACTGAGAATCAGATAAATGGAGCATCAAGTGAATGGGTCAAAGTTAAGTCCATGAAGTGATAGCCTAGAAAGTGATGGTGGTAACTCAGTCTCCATGATGTTTTTAGAAAGAGGAGGTGTTTCTGGAGGAAGATCAGAGGTCGGAGGCAAAGTGAAACTGGTGAACTCAGGGCCTTTTCTAACCTTCAGCAGCTGAAATAAGACTCTGCAACAGGTACCAGATAAATGAAAGCTACATGTTACTAGAAAATATGAGCTTTTGAAGACACTCAGTGCTGGGGACTGAAGGAGAAGATTTGGGGATTAAAATAAGATTGTCAATGTCTGCCATTCAGAATTATTCAAGGTTTCAAGGTTTCAAATGCTTCCGGCACTTCACAGGTACCTGGGAATATGGAGGGATTTGTCAGAGTAGGTGTATAGGTTCAGACCATATACATAGGGAGCCGAGGTATCAGCCCATGTACCAGGACTGGAGAGATGGTGCCAAGTTGGACTCACAAAATGATCTGAGACAAAGAGAAATTATCCGTTGACTCTGGATAGTTACAGGAACAATTCACAGTAAGGTTTTTCTGAAGAAGCTCAGATAGCTTAAGAGACAGGAGCAAGGTGGGAAGCAAATCTGCCAAAATGTCACTATTGATGCAAATAATTTAGAAGGAGAAAGAAAGGCTGCTTTCAGGTTATAAGAAAACCCAGAATGGAGTTTGCAAAGGAAAGTACCAGTTGAAATTTGGGGGAATGAGAGTTACTTGTTGTAATTCAGTTCTCAAGCTCCAGTCTAATTCCTTACAGGAAGAGTTCCCAGAGAGAGGAAAAACCAGACCCCACGGAAGGATGCACAGAAACATGCCAGGCCCAGGTTCGACTTTACTCACTGACATACAGGTAGTGTAGGATGCCTGTCCACTGGGTGAGTGTGACCATCTGTGCACCAATCCCTGGTGTGCTGAGAAAAAAGGGGGTGTTGGGGACTCTATTGAGATAAATAATCAGCTTTCCTTTCTATTATAGGAGGAATAGACATTTCCAATTCAAGTACATTTGTGAGGAAACTCTACCCTGGTCTTCCAGAAATGGAGGCAAGAAGGTATTCTAGCTTGTTAGGTACTCTAGCTTGCTAGGCTCATCTATCTTCCCAACCCCTTTTCTTCTTACTGGAAACAGGGAACCCGAGGGAGGGGCTGACATAGACCCAGTGCAGTCATGTGCCGCATACTAACACTTCCATCATTCTAGATAATAATGGAGCTGAAAATTTTCTATCGCCCAGTGATATCATAGCCATCATAATGCCATAACGCAATACATTACTCGTGTTTGTAGTGATGCTGGTGTGAAAAAACCTACCACACTGGCAGTTATATAAAAGTAAAGAATGTACAATTATGTACAGAACAAAATGCTTGATAATGATGATAAATGACTGTTACTGGCTTACGCATTTGCCTTTTATTGCTATTTCAGAGTGTACTCTTTCGACTAAAAAAATGTTTGCCGTGAAACATAATGCCATGTTATGCCAATGGGAGCCTCGTGTCTCATGTTTACTGTGGCAAATGCTCTGGATGTTCTGGTAAGTCAGATGCGAACTGGAAATTAGATAGACCCTAGACAAATTCATGGTACATCAGTGATATTTTTATGGTCCAAAGTTTAGAGGGATGGCATCCCTTTAATGCAAAGGACATGTAATTATACCTTCTATAACAAGGAAAGAGGCACAGTGCTTTAGCCCTCCTTGGGTTTGGAAGATATTCTATCAGTTGTGTTAATGATCTTATGCTCTTTGCTCCTTGTAGGCAAATTTCAGAGAGATGTTCAATTTGGTCTCTCAACGGATCCCCAGCAGGTCTTAGCCCCAGTTGTCCGCAGTGGTGACCTACTCATTATTGGCTTTTCTCCTTACCCTGTTCTCTGTACATGCCCAGCAATGCTCCCCAAGATTACCTCTTAAATAAAGTCCACCCAAATCGTTGCTCAGGATCTGTTATTGAGAGCTAAACCAAGACAGTCCATAAGGGTAGAAACAGGGAAAGTTGTTACAGAATTATTGCAATAATCCAAGAGATAATCATGGTGGGTGGTAATTGGATGTGACCAGGGTGGTTGAATTCTAGATGCATTTTGAAGTTAGATGTGTGAGTTGGGTGTAGGACACAAGGTAAGGAAAGACTTCAGAATGTCTCCAAAGGTTTTGCTTAGATTCACAAGAGTGATGGAGTTTTTCTGCAAGTGAGATGGAAATGACTTCAGGAAAAGCAGATTTTCTGAGGAAAATACAGCATTTGATTTTGGTCATCTTAACTTTCAGATACCTAGTAAATATTTAAGAAATTATCCATTGACTCTGCCTCAAGTAGGCAGTTGGACACAGAGTTCAGAAGGAAGTTCCATAGGGGAGATACAATGGGAGTCGTTGATATGTAGATGATATTTCAAGCAATGAGATCACCAAGAGAATGAATATAGAGCGAGAGGGAACCAAGGTCTGAGGACTGGATCCCTCCAATGTTAAAAGGCTAGAGAGAAGAGAAGAAACAGGCAAAGGAGAAAAGAAGCTATCTCTGGCATAGCAAGAAACTCCAGGAAATGGGATGCCAGGGAGGCCCAAAGGGCAAAAAATAGTATATCAAGAAGGAGGGAGCAATCTGCTGATAAGTCAGGTCAAATAAAGACTGAGCATTTATTAGTGGATTTTGCAATGGAAAATCAGTTCAAGCCCTATGACAAATTTTGAGTATCCAAAATACTTCATGAATCCAGAGTTTCAATGAATATCTGAGCATTCCTGGGACTAAAGACAATCCAGGCTTTCTCCAGAAGATAAGGAGGGTACGCATGAAAAGAAAGGATTCTTAAAATGAACTTTGGCTACCTTGAAATTTTGCCTTGGGTCAGCCATGTCATTGACTATTAAACATTGGGAATAATATAAATGCAAGGTGAACAAACTCCCCTTGGTGCCCTGGGGGGAAAATACAATAACACCAGAATCTCTGGACAGTTAAGCCAGCTTAATTTACTGACTGCTTTTGTGATAGATTTCACTATAAAATAAAGTGGATGGTAGATTCTATTGAACAATAGTACCTATATTTTCAACTTCAAAGTGGTTGGCTTATTATAATCAATGGGAGGCCCCTACCAGCCATGAAAATAATGGATGATGCAGCCACCTTATAATAATGCTGGAATTCATCTGGCAGTAAGCCGTAATTGTTCAATAAGAGCCCAAGTGAGATAATGCCATAAAGCCTTATATACACAAACCAAGTGACTCCCAGAAAGTAGGGGGCAAAATAAGCCCATCTAATCATTTTATCGATTCTCTATGTAGCAAAAAAAAAAAGTTATTCTGTACCTAGTTTTAACTTTGGTAAAAATAATGATTTTTTTTTTCCTCTTATGATATCATTTGAATTTGGTCCAGGAATTACCTTTAGCTTACTTCATCAGTGCTCAATGTCATCTTCTCTCCTGATGGAAAATGCTACCTATTTGGTGTTTATATTTCTTCATCCACCATCTTTCTCTTGGCAATAGGCGTACTTGGGATAAAAATAGTATCTACCTAGGAGTTATTAAGAGGATAATATGATTTAATCTAGCTAAGTCACTTAGAACAGTGCTTGGGAAAGAATTTGTGCTGTTTGTCTGAGTGTTACCTTTTATTTTTACCATTATGTGGTAAAGGCCCCACCTTTGCATGGCTTCCATATAGATGGGTTTCTGTTCCTTGTGACCATGAGCATTGTAAGCTATTGATCTTATCAAATAATTGTGAGAATGAGTATTTTCTGAATTATGTAAACCATCCCATTAGATTGAATACCCTATTGATTGTAATGTGAAATCCCATTTGTAGTGGTCATACTGGTCTTAGAAAGCACATTTTCCTTTACCTGGGAAGGACAGCACAGTTATCCCAAGGTCAGAGGGCTCCAGTTAATGTGTCCCTGTTGACTTAGTGTTCCAGAGACCCAAAACTGTAATTTAGATAACATGCCTAAGTTTAACCCAGGTTCCTCATTCCAGAGGGCTCTAGATAATGAGTTCCTGGCAACTCAGTGGTCTCTTGACCCAAGGGCTCTAGATAAGGTGTTTCTGTCAATTCAGTGACCCCGAGACCCAAAACTATAATTAACATGCTTAATTCTGCTTCTGTAAACTGCTTTTTTGCAAACCAGGTTTCTCATTCCAAACCTTGAGATGTAATCAATACCTTTGTGATTTTTTGCTTATATAACCCTGGAGCTGTGACCATCTTGTTACTATGAGATTTGAGGAATGGTCCCTCATAGTCCTGGATTGCAATAAATGTGACTCTTTAATTCTACTTCTTGAGGCATCCTTCTGTGATTCGCGGGGTACATTACAACATTACCTTTTATTTTTACCATTATGTGGTAAAGGTCCCACCTTTGCATGGCGTCCATGTGGATGGGTTTCTGTTCCTTGTGACCATGAGCACTGTAAGCTATTGATCTTATCAAATAATTGTGAGAATGAGTACCTCTAGTTTTAAATGTATGGAGATGTAGGAAATGGTGATCCTGAGATGTTCAGAAACCCTACAGTTTCTGGAGATAACGGTAAGTGAAAGGGCGAGGGCTAGGCCCTCCATCTTGCCCCAGAGCAAGGAGTAGGCCCTCCATCTTGCCCCAGGGTAAG